CCCCTGGAGGAAGTGTCTGGAGAGAGGGAAGTCTGGGCATCTTTGCTTAGACTGCTGCCCCTGCGACCCGGTCCTGGATAAGCAGAGGAAAATGGATGGATGGATGGATGGGAATAAAGGTTAAAAAAACATTTATAGTGCTAACAATTTGTTCAGAGTATCTGAAGGAATAACCTGACATTAACATTGCAGTGTTACTTTAGAAAACAAATTAGTTTTATTCAGTTTTTATTCAATTTTTTTTACATTGCCTCAGAGGTGTGCGGAAACTGATTTGAAAAATCATGATTGCTGTCGTACAGTTTTTAATGAGTTTTTCAGTCACATCTGAAATTTCATTCGAATCATTACAGTGCATCCCACATAATTGCAACTTCCGTGGCTCTTCCCCATCTTGTGTGTCTGCATCTTTGCAATTCCGTGTCGCATAAAGCCAAAAATGGCAAAAGTATTGAACAAAAAAGTGCACATATTTTGGCAGAGGTCACGTAATAGTTTCCACAGCAGTGGTAATGCTTAACAGCATCAACCAGCAGCCATTTGTAACAGTCACTTCACCACTGACGTTTGGAAACATTCACTTTATTTTGCACAATTCTAATAACTGTGTTGTATTTCTACTACCTTTGCAAAATAAGTAAAATCCTCCTCTTGGTAGAGGTACCGTAGATCTGCTGTGGTGCTGTATGCTACTTCTCTCACTGTTACACAGTGACTCTGCTGTTCGTGTGGGGTAGTGTTTGTGGGTGTGTGGTAGAGAGCCTTTTGTTTTGCACTAGCCCTAGTCAGCTACGCACAATGTAGAAAGTATAGTTTGCGGTGGTTACACTTTGTCATGAATATTAGTGAACCGTGTGCACTTTCATTAGCGCTGCTCTATGCTGAGGAATGCATACAGATGAAACGCGGACTGGTGAAAACTGGTGCATATTTGCTGCTTCTGCACGGACTGGTGAAAACTTGTTCCATAAAACTGGTGCATATTTGCTGCTTCTGCGCTATTTAGGAAATGTATTGATTCACTTCCATTGTATTTTGTCAAGTATTAATTTGAGGGAAAGAAGAAGAATTATCACCTCTTTAATTTACGGGATGTCATCTAGAGTATTATTTCCTGTTAAGCTCCTGTTTGTTGTGAAAAACACTTTTTAGTTTAAATATGTTGAGTGCACACATGTTTTTTTTTTTCCTTCTTCAATCTTATTATAGTTATAAGTTTCCCTGTTTGAGTGATAGGATGAACACTTCTGTTCACATGCAGTTCTTGTTCTTCTGAGTTTTGTTTTGATTTTCTTCTTCGCTTTCATGCCCCTGTTTGTGAGCAAAGAATGAAAAATAAATCTAGGTGTATCACTCCACCAACCCTCTGTAATATGTATCATGGTGGCAATAAAAAGCAGTAGAAATTCCCAGCAGAGTAATGGAGATGGAGTTTGATGGTAATTATGTTTTCCTCACCTTTTCTCTGCCTGGTGGTGGAGAGGATGATTCGCTTTGGGGTGTGTGTGTGTGTGTGTGTGTGTGTGTAAATGGATGCATGATCCAGTTAGAGCGCTGGGGGACTGAGAGACGGTGCTCTCCTATAAGGTTAGACTGAAATTTATGATCCTGAGACGTGGTAAGAGCTAATTTAGAACGGCAGGAATGAAACCTATAGACTGGGGAACCATGATTCTTTCATTTTCAGCATTAAAGAAAACTCTCTCACACACACACTTCAGATGAATGAGATGGAATTTTTTTTTTAATCTCTCTCCGCACTGAGCCAGTGTAATTTGACAGAATTTTTATTTTTATGTTTTCAATTTCTTAGTTCTATTTTCATTTTTGAACTTGACCTATAATAATTTCTTTAGCTTAATAATGCGAGTCATTTTGTTTTTAGTCAACAATAAGTCCTATTAGATTCTTTATTGCCCCTTAAATTTATTTGCTCTATTAGCGTGCATCACAGTCTTGTGCCATTACTGGTCAGAGCAAAACAAATGGACAGAATTCATTGTAGAAAACTGGTATAACCTCATACTGGTAAGCCAGAAGTCTTCACTCCTATCAATCTACATACATTTGTAAAATCTGTCTAATGTGCAGTTGCAAGTATGCTCGGGTGAATCAGATGCCCAGATGTCTTTATACCTCCAAATCACCAAAACCAGCTTACTGAGCTGTCTTCCTATCAGCTGCTCCAACAAAAGACCTTTGAAAAATTGTAAGGAGAGTTCACGAGGTGCTACTTTAAGGAATCACTGGCTGTGAGGAGACATTTATTAAGTGACACATTTCATCTGAATACACTGCTGAAAATGTGAGTCACAAGCTACCAACGTATTTGCCCAAAGTTAATGTCGGAACCCATTTCCCACTAGTATTTAGTGTTGGAGTAATATACACATTCACACAGGCTATTAAAACTGTCATCCACATTCACACATTCACACAGGCTATTAAAACTGTTTTCAGGTCAGAAAGCAAAAGCATGACTTGTTGCAAAATGGAACAGTGCAGTATTGGGTCCATACAATATTGTAGAACTGCTCTTGACATCACAATATTAAGTAATCAGCCACATAATATGACAGTACTTTAAAAAATTTTGCTTTAGTAACGAGGAAAAAATTCAATAGAATAGCACAGAGTTGTCACTCCTGTTATTTTGATGCTACTACTGCTGCTGTTGGTTGAAAGTTGCAGTTGTGTTTTGTTCAAATCCTGTGATTAAGGATATAGTATGTAAACCCCCCCCCCCCAAATGTATCGTAGTCCTGTAAAAGGTTTCTGTGACCCAGGCATTGAACAGCCTGGCAGTAGTGCAGTGATATTCACTTCTAAAGTTACACCCTTCTAACCATTCAGACGAAGCCAATGTCAGAAGCCAGGCATTTAGCTCACAGCTGCAATTAGAGCTTCTGTTCTAGTTCTCTGGTCACACCAAGGCTGCTGGAAGGTGTCGCTATGATGTAGCGTAGCGGGGTGAGGGTGGGGTGGGAGGAACAGAGTGATTTCGTTTCAAGTCTTATGCTAACGCTAGATTGATTTCAAGAGCTGCCTATTATAGCTTTAATTAATTAGTCAATGGCCAGAAAATTAATCTGCAACTGTTTTACAGATTAAATAATCATTTAAGTATTTCTTTTAAATGCCAAACGTTCCCTAGTTCCAGCTTCTCACTTCTTTAGATTTGCTGCTTTTCTTTGTGTTAGTTGATAGTGAACAAAAAAAACCACTTTGTTTTAGGATGTTGGTTGAACACAGCAACCAAGTTGAGGTTGTAGGGAATTGTCATCTTTTTTTTTTTTTTTTTTTTTTTTTTTTTTTTACTGTTTTCTGACATTTTATAGGCCTAATGCATAATAAATTGAGTTAATAATCAGCAGATAAGTGTTACGTCATTAAAAATAAACGTTAGCTGTAGCACTTTTTAAAAATTCTGTTGCCTGGTTTGTGGGTGGTACAACTGGGGGCAGGGATTCTTCCTATGGCTGTTGTCAACTGCACATAAATTAGCTTGTAGATTTTACAGCACCTATAGAGCAGGCTAATCAAGAAAGAAAGGAAGACTGGAACAAAATCAGCAGGACGCTGAAAGCTGAAAAAACAGAATGCAGGAGAGACAAAAGAAACGGGGAGAGCGAATGGAAGGATGATGAAGGCCAGGCCTTTCTGCTGAGTGTTCAGTCGGCTGGAATAAAGTAGTAAGTCAGTTTCTTGATGGCAAAGGGGAACTGGGACAAATCACCCTGGCAAAGGAAAGTGAAAAGGGCACAGCAGAAGTTGAAAAATGAAGGGATGAGAATTGTAATAGATGTTCTTCTCTATTTAGTTCAGGTTCATGCTTTCTGCAGCTGTCCGGCATCTGCAGAGATGGACGTTGGTCCTCTGGGGTCAAGCAGCACTGTCAGCTGTGATTGTAACCTCTCCGACTGCCTGAATGGAGGGTGTTTTTTCCCCTCCACTTGTCCGAGTTGCCTTTACAGTCCTGATCTATGCTCAGGGTTAAGTATACAGGAAGCTAGTTGGGGGAGTGTTTACTTCACATACATTTAAGAAAACCTGCTGTTTCTGTAGAAATACCCAACCAGGTGGAAAGTGCAACCCTTTTGTGATTTTATAACATGCCGCCTTAAAGTAGAGCAGAGCTGCACAATGTGGACAAAATAAGCAGTGTGTGAAGAATTTGTTGGGCATAAAAGAACTGCAGTGTAATGAAATCAAAATAATTTGTTGTAGTTCTATGTTTGTGTGTGTTTAAGAATTTTAATTAAGAAAATTATTCTGTGGGGTCCCTGTACATTTGCTAACATTCTATAAAATGTGTACAAATATATTTTCAGAACTACTTCGACCAAATAACTCGTTTGTATTCCGGTTTAACATTTTTGCACCTGAAGCTAAGTATGAGCCTGTAATAGTCAGGAATGCTGAATCATTGCTTTGTTAAGAGTTTAGGTCAAATTATTATTTTTTCATTCATTTCAAATGAGAAGGGAGCTGTAACTGAAGTAACAGGCACAGAATATTGCAGCCTTTTGGATGAGAGTGATGCAAAACTGGTGAACAAATCAGTTTGATCAGTATCAGTCAAACACACTACTTATTACCATTAGCACCATAATGTCCTCAATTCAGTTTTGCTTTCATTGCGTTCATTTTCAGCTACATTTTGGTGGAGCCAGTGGTCCTGATATACTGTTCATTCACATGTACAGCCAATAGTTGTCACAGGTGAGGTCAGAGGTATTAGAAAATTTAGGACTGCAGCTCACCACCCTCTTCCTGGTTGTTTCTTCTAGGCGGCCTCCCATATGAGTTTAAAGTGGTGATTGCCGGAAACCACGAACTGACCTTTGATAAGGACTTTATGGCTGAGCTGGTCAAGCAGGATTACTACCGATTTCCCTCAGTCTCCAAACTCAAACCCGAGGACTTTGACAATGTCCAGTCACTCCTCACAAACTGTGTGTACCTGCAGGACTCAGATGTCACCATAAAGGGATTCCGGATATACGGGACGCCATGGTAAGAGCACCAACCCTTCGTTCTTTTATTCTCCATCCTTTCTGTATTTTCATAATGACTTGAATCACACTTCTGTCTCGTTGTGTTGTGGATCCCTGAGGTGAAGGTGTGCTTCTCCTCTGCCAGTGTCTGGCTGTTTTCCACCTTGCCTCTCTGCAGTAACTCTGCTCTCTGCTGCACGCTCTCTGTGAGGGCCCGCCCTTACATGCAGGGTGTTATTCCCAGCTCGCACATTCCTTTAAGAGCTCAGGTCCTTCGCCTGCTCCCCAGGCTTATGTTACACCTGTCTTTTGACACAGGGTTAAGTGATACGCGTGGTACCAGGACACCCTGTCAATAGGCTCTCAGGTGTGGACAGAACACTGGCAGGAGAGAGCGTTGGATGAGGAATGTATAAGCCGCGTGCATTCAACAGAGGCAGGTGGTGGTTGTTAAAGTGAGAAGTGTTTGTGCAGGGAAGCTACTAATTATGGAAGAAAACTCTTCCCATGTCACTGCTGCATTCATGGATGGGTAAGTCCTCATGCAGTTTTAACCTGTGTGGAATTATTGTCAGTTCATAGTTGATGACTGGCAGAAACTGTAGGTTCTATACCAAAGAACAAACATTTTATGGCTATATTAAAAACCACCGTTTTGGAGAAAGTGTTTTCCAGTGATTGTAAAAGAAATACCACTATCCAGTATTATAGCTACTGTATATCAAATAAAATTCTTGTTTTATGCCTTGGGAAAAAAATGCATGTGCATTTGGTTGGGGTTCTTGCAGCTGCCTAGTTTACTTAAAATAAATGTTTTATTCAAGGAGCCTGTGTTACAGTACTTATACTAATTTTGGTATTTAACTATGAAGTTTCACTTGGTGTATCTAAAGGGACGTTCATCTTGCAGGCAGGTGAAACATGCAACACACAGACAGACAACCCCTAATAAAACCCTTACGAGTGCTATAAAAATCTCAAACGTTCGCTAAAATTTACCATTATACCTCACATGACGTGCACATTAAGGCAACAATAGAACATGAAATCTGGAGTACATTCAGTTATCAACAGTTAAAATATAATCGCTATCACAATTTAAATTGATACATAACTGTTAGATCCATCCATGGACAAATGTTGCTTGTTTTTACAGTTAATCATTTGGTCTTTAAAATGTAAAAAAACTATCTTAAGGTCTTACGGTTTTGTCGTGAAATTGCTCACTTACTTTGTCCATACCTTTTTAATATGATGACATACGACACAAACTAACGCACTCCCTAGTGTGAAGAATGAATTATGTCCCCATTGATCGGTTAACAGATTTATTATAGGCTAATCATTTCAGCATTATTAGATGATAATTGCTTGAATCCTAAATATGCATCTCTTCTGTTCTCCTCAGTAGAAGTAATCGTAGAACAGTGCTGATAGTTGTCTCCGGTGGTCCCTGCTCTTTGTCTGTGTGATGCTCTCTTGTTTTGCCCTTCACCTGTGCTTTGTATTTCAGTCTGAACTACTGACATGTTACAGTATATGAATAGTCTTGCACTCTGACCTCAGCTTTGCTTGTCCTGCTGTGACTCCCTCTGCTCTTTCTGTGCAGTGGTTCTCACAAGTCTGCTCATGACTTAAAATAACTGTTTAGGTCACACCTGCATCCTTTGGCGGCTATAATTTGTAGGCTCGCAGCCTGGTTTCAGAATTGGCCGTTCACAGCAGCAGGAAGAGGCGGGGTCAAATCCCAGCATTCCTCAGACATCATAGCAGCAGGAAAAATAGATTACCCTCTCTTCTCCCTCCATCCTTCCTCTTTTCCATCCTTCTGTTTGAAAGAGGAAGGATGCTGCCCCCCCCCCCCCCCTCTGTGGTTGGTGTTTCGCGTGGGGTTGTGACAGCTGGGGGTCTTGTGAGAGGTGGAACGGACAGCTTGGCCACCCTCCTTCTACCCCTCCTCAGTTCCTCTCCTCCTCATACCCATATGCCATTGTGACCCGAGGTCTGGCCTGCTTGTCCAGTGTGAGGTCTCACTTAGCCCCGCAGTGACCCCTCACTTCATCATCAGCTCACCAAGTCACTACTTAGGTGGCCGGGCTCTTCTGAGCCCTCATTGGTCCGCTGCTATGGGTCAGAATGAGACAGCATCACTCAACAAATGTGTGTAACTACTACTGATAAACACTGTAGTGATCTGCTCACATTCACTTTGTCAATCCAGCAGCAACTGTCCACTGTAACACAGTTTTACTCACATAGATAAGTATGAGTAAAAAAAAAAAAAAAAGTATTAAAGTAGTTCACAAATACTCATTCTTCGTGTTCTATACTATACATCCTAATTATCTTTATATTGAGTATTAAATTAGGTTTTTTGTTTTATTGTTATATGCTCTTTGGTAGTCCCAGCTTTTAAATGTTACACTGCCATGTTGCAACTACAGTAGTCATATATGTTATTAAATCTATTTTCCTCAGAAATATTTTGTTAGTTTAAAACATCTCAAACTAAAGTACACCGTACTAAAAAACTCTTTGGTAAAAACTTGGATTTCTGCTTTTTGTATCCATCAGTCACTCTACATTTAAGATGAGAGGGAAGTTGTTCCTACACTGACTGAAAACCGTTTTCAGCAGACCGGTTGTCTGAATACCACATCATTAAAATGCAGTATTCAGATTCACATCAGGGCAATGAAATACACAATTTCAATATGTTCTTTATCTCCTCTGCTGTTTTATAAAATCCACTCAAATAATTAATTGCTTGTGGTTTGCAAGACGCATTAACTACTGGATTTGGTGTTCAGGCATGAACTAAAAGAACAAGCAGGTCTCTGAAGTTTAGATTTCTCTCAGAAATTGTTGAAAAGCAGCAGTGCCATTTACAGTGGCACTGCAGGTTTTCATTTGTGCAAGATGGAAGGAAACTTTTTGCCCTAATTAGCAACATTACACCCTTCCATCCATTGCCATCCGGTTTCTGATACCATAATTTAAATTTGTTTTAAAGGTTATAGAAATAAAATTGTCTTTTTGCTGCAGCAAATCTATGTCGTAATTATCTGAAGCAGGTTGTCTTTTCAGCATGTGGCCATTTACAGCTGAAAGATTTAGATATACCACAGAGCATCAGAACAGTTGATGCATCGTGTTCAGTACAGTGTGCTTTCCCTTAAAGGATTTTAGACATAGCCGTGTCTGATATCCTCTCATTGGGCCCATATGTGAACAAGAAAACAAGACTTGTTTTCACATCATATCATCTGATAGGTGAAACTTTTATCTCCTAAATCTGAGCGAGTAAAGACTGTTCAGAACCGCACCTAAAGTAATCAATTGTATGGCAATCGCGAGGCTTCATTAGCCAAAATGTAGTCTTTCCAGTTCCCCGGAAACAAAATTCTGCTCTGATTCGCCACATATTGTGAGATGTGAGCTGCAAAGCTTCAAGGAAATGCTGTATAATTTCCAGCTGAATTAGGACATTGGAATCGCATAGTCTACAAGATTTTTAAACTAAAATTAACCTACTGACACACGGTCAGTGTTTAGAGTAAATGAGGTACTTCTCTGAGAAAACATGTGAGATTTTATTAGAATAAATTGGTGATATGAATGATTAGCTTAACAGGGTGAATTCAAATGTAAAACCGTTCTCACCTGGTTCACTCCTGTTTGGAGTGAGACCACTGTACCATGAAAGACACACAACACACACTGTTTAATGTCAGATGCTTAACAGAGCGAGTACCTAACCCTCCCCAAACTCACACAGCGAGAAGATGAGCAGGCTTCTGCATCTTGTCATTCAAACCAGAGATGGGCTGAAGGCGTCTTGGGGTCAGACAGTTTGGGATTTTATTCACATCATTAACTCTTTATGCTCCAGACAGCAAGTTGGGGCAAGGTAAAACCCCGAGTCATTTTCTCTGAACTTCAAACCAGTTTAATATATTTATTCATATTTTACTTCTGTCTTGAATACAGGATATGAATTTCAGATTTTTCAGTTTTTTACAGTTTGATATAATTTGGGCTCTGGAGACTTGAGACAAGCACACAGCATTGTCTGGGCTCCACACTAACATTTCATAGCCTCTCAAATGGTGGCACCACCTTTGTTTTACAATGTAATGCAAAATAATCTGTATTTTTTATTAATTACCTTTACCATCCAGTGTGCATAGCCTATATTTATAATAAAATTCAGAGAGAGGGAGACTTATGGAAAACGGTAAATGGGAAAATCACTTCTGGAACAAGCCCTTTTTGTGTCGTCACTGTAGTGCTCTATAGCCTAGCAGTCAGCATGATGATGATAATGATGATGATTAGGCTATCCTTTCTCAAGTATAAACCCATAAATTCAAGTAAAACGTTTCCAACACATAAACAGGCTAGCAGGTGACACTCTCACATACTGAGATTAGACATCAAAACAGAAGGACCAACTGCAAGCCGGTCAGAGATATGGGAGGAATCCTGCCGGTTTTACTGAGTCTGATAAGCTCTGTTGACTGATTCAGAACAGAGAAGTGCGAGTAGGGAAGACCTGAGAGCGAGACCCCTGCTTTGTCTCTCTCTCCCTCTGTGTGTGTGTGGGGGGGAGATTAATCTGTTTTGTGATTCTGGACTTGACCACAACTTAACTCCCCAGTTGAAGGTCAAACTGTTGCTGCTCCCTCTGCTGCCTCCTCCCTCATCCTCCCAGCCCTCCTCTGCCTCATCCACTGGGAGGCACTTATCTCTCCTTCCTTCTTTTCACTCTCACTTATTCTTCTTCCTGTAGTGATTTTACTCTCGTCTTCCTTCTCTCATTTCTTCTTTCCACTTCTCTCCTATCCCATTTGCAGAATACATTTTCTCTTCTCTTTTGTCTCTTCGTCTCTTTTCTTTCCTTCTCATCTTTTCTATTTTCTTTTTCTGGTTATTATTTTACATTTGTCCTTTCCTGCCATGTGATTTTCTTCTTCCCTCCTCTTTTTTCACAGTACGTACTTTGGTTCCTGTTAAGAA